CGAGGTGCTCACTTGGTGTGGCTCATGTGTGTGAGCTCCACCTAGAAAGTGGCAGCATCACTGCTGCATCACGGCTGTGTCCACTGGGCCAGCCATAAGCGGAGAGAAGCTGTGTTATGGCCGCCATGCCCACAAGGGGATGCCTGCAGTTCCTATGGCTCCTCAAGTCTCTGTCCAGCCTCTTAACTCACACCTTGCCTACGCTGGGTTCAGCAAACAGTGCGAACAGCAAGACAACCAGTGCCATGAACAGGATCAGCAACACACCCTTACAGTCAACAACAGAGTCCAAAAGTGCAGTCTCAAAAACGACAGAATGATCTCGGTTCGTTTCCCTTCCACATCACGGTAATTCAGGTCTAGGCCCCACCACTAATGTCAAAGAAGCAGAAGCTGACTAGTTCTATGAAGACTGACGAGACTTTCTAGAACAAACACCAAGAAAAAAGATGTCCTTTTCATCATAGGGACCTGAATGCAAAACTCGTAAGTCAAGAGGTACCTGGAGTAACAGACATGTTTGCTATTCCAGATACCTGCAATAACAGACAAGCATCTCGGGCTTCGCTGGTGCCTCAGCTGGTAAAGAATCTGCCTGCAATGCGGGAGACTCAGGTTAAATCCCTGCCTTTAATGCAGGAAGACACCCTGGAGAAGAGAATAGCTACTCACTCCAGTATTCTGGCCTGGAGAACTCCATGGACTACATAGTCCACGCGGTCACAAGGAGTCACAAAACTGAGGGACTTTCACTTTGGCCTCGGAGTACCAAATGAAGCAGAGCAAAGGCTACCAGAGTTTTGTCAAAGAATATGCTGGTTATTGCAAACACCCTTTTCCAACAACCTGAGAGACAACTCTACACATGGACATCACTGAATGGTCAATAATGAAATCAGACTGATTGACATTTATAATATTCATCTAACATCTAATAGTAAAATAAAGCTGGTTTTTCCTTGCTAACTCTCCCACTCCACAGCACTTTTCTAAGTCCCTGTTCTCTTTCTGACTATGATTTCATGATTGCCATATAGTGATAGTCCCCTAATTTTTATGTATGTCCCTCTTTGTCTCAAGTTTTAATTTCACATTTCTATGTTTGACAACTTCAATGTTTCCACATATTCAATATATACAATATAAACTTTTTCTGTTCTCCAAGAAGCCACTTCTTTCCATTTTCTTAATTCTACTTGGTGACATTCATTTTTCCTCTTAGTTTTATAATATTAATTTTTACACTGATTGTCCTCTCTCCTTCACATTAAATGTTTCCTGAGTCCTTTGTACAATACCTCTTGTATACAAGTGAGTATTTCTATTGCTGCTTATAGAAGATTTATTGCATTGAGTGTCCCAAATATACAGCTTCCTTACATTCATGCCCCTTATATTCCCTTCTACTCTAACTCCATCTCTTACCACTGTTTTACTGAATTTCTGAGCCTTACATGTAGTAGACACCTTGAACTGACTAATCGTTAGTCATTATATACCCTTTTATAGTAAAAAAAAAAAAAATCTGGAAAAGCATAAAAGTAAATTTTCTATATTTCCTTGCTGCTCTGGTTCTGAATATGCTGTTAAGTTTAGAAATAAATGCACACAGAAAAACTGTATTAGCTGAAACTGAATCACACAGTGAGATTCAGGGCTCTTTTATGGACCCTGTGTCTATAGTAGGAGCTCCTGGAGTCAGCAAGCGGCTTCATGATCATGATGGTGAAGGCAGCAATTCCTCTGAAACCAGATTTTGCTCAGTGATTGTGGGAGGGGGTTGTTCAGTCACCCAGTTGTGTCTGACTCTGCAACCCCATGGACTGCAGCACACCAGGCTTCCCTGACCTTCACTGTCTCCCGGAGCTTGATCAAACTCATGTTCATTGAGTTGACTGTGCCATCCAACCATTTGTTGCCCTCTTTTTCTCCTGCCCTCAATCTTTCCCAGCATCAGAGTCTTTTCCAGTGAGTTGGCTTTTCACATCAGGTGGCCAATAAAGTATTGGATCTTCAGTATCCATCCTTCCAATGAATATTCAGGGTGGATTTCCTTTAGGATTGATTGGTTTGATCTCCTTGCTGTCTCAGGGACTTCCAAGAGTCTTCTCTAGCAACACAGTTAGAAAGGACCAATTCTTTGGCACTCACCCTTCCTTATGGTCCAACTCTCATTTTTGTACGAGACTACTGGAAAAACCATAGCTTTGACTATACAGACTTCTGCTGGTAAAGAGACGAATCTGCTTTTTAATATGCTGTCTAAGTTTGTCATAGCTTTTCTTCCAAGAAGCAAGCATCTTTTAATTTCATAACTGCAGTCACTGTCCACAGTGATTTTGGAGCCGAAGGAAATAAAGTTATGGAAGGGACCTAGGTTTTTCTTCAACAATTCCATAGCTCTTCATGCATTTTTTTCCTTCTCCTTAAATTGATTGGAGTAAATTCTGTCATCCATTGGTAAGAATACTGATGAGTAGTTTTCTTGTCTTTAAACCGTAATACTAATATCTTGAAAGGTTATTAAAATAATTGAATGGGACAATTCATGTAAAGCATGTTAAGACATATTATCTGCCAAAAACTAACTCTTGTTTTTGTGTTTTTACTCTTGTTTTAAAGTTGCTTAATAATCAGAATGCCTGGGTTTGAATCATGGCTTGTAGCATATGTTCTTTCTGCAAGCTTGGTCAAGCTGTTTAACTTTTCTACGGTTTGATTTCTTTATCTATAAACTAGGTAAAAAGCAAAACTACTTCATGTAGTTTGGCAAGGGAAGCCCGCAAATTAATGAGACTATGTTAATAGTTTTTTTTTTTTCCTGTACTTTGTTATTCTCCACACAAATCTGATTCCATCAAACTAATTTCCCACATTGATTCCTGCTTTAATGCCACGAGCTCAACCTGTTTCCTCAGAGTTCTGGGCACACCTTTTAAAAATAACACTCAGTATCCTGACATTATATATTCTGTGTTTTTCAATTCAAATCCATTTTCAAGCTGTTCCTTTTTCATGCAATCTTTTCAAGGACCTGTAACCTACCTTGATCATTTTCTTGGTCTTGAAAGCTCCTACAAACAGCACCATGCATTTTAACACATCACTGTTTTTTTCCATTAGTAAATGTGCCTTACTTCTTTCTCAAAAGGATTTTTTGCTCATTCAGACCATTAGTAACTAATTAAAAAAAAACTAACAGAGTTCTTACAAGACTTCTCCATTTAACAGTGACTTGAAAAACTACTGACTAGATGATTTACCATGTCATTGATTGAAATCAATTAGATTCCACAATATTTTGTCATTAAATGTAGAGAACTCAGATGTATGAATTTGGTTAAGTGTTTAGTATTATATATACACAATTTTCTTAATATTAATTTTTTTCTCTTTACCAAAACATCTCTGTCTCTAATTTCCTTTGATTGTGCTTACTTCTACCATAGAAACAATAATAATATTAGATGAACTGACAAAATGAACACAGAAAATATGTCACTGTCAACATTAAAACATGAGAATGACTTCTGTTCCTCAGATACATTTGTTAGCAGTGACATAAGACTCACAGATAAAAGGGCTTAGAGAATCGTTTTCAAACTTGGCTGCACAATGGAATCACCTGGTGAGCTTTAACAATATCGATACAGTAAGTCCCCTACATGTGAAACTTCGAGCTCGCATGTCCAATGACATAAGTGAGTTCACATGCCTGGTGTACACTGTCACATGCATGCATCCTCTTCAGATGGTTGTGCTTCTGTGTACATTATTGTACACTACTACACTGAATACAGAGTATGGTATCTTTACTTCAAGCCCAGGGTGTCCAAAAGCAAGTGTAAAAGCAGGGGTGAAGTAGCTGGCACTACTGTACTTTTCAAGGTATTGTACAATAAGATTTAGAATGTTTTACTTTTGTGTTTGCTTTTTAAGTATGTATTATTTGTGTGAAAAGTGTTATGAATGTATTACTGTACAGTACTGTATAGCCAAGCCAATTGTGTTAGATGGCTACCTAGGCTAACTTTTTTGGACTGAGAAACAAACTGGACTTACCAACATGCGCTCAGAATGGAACTTGCTTCTATGTAGGGGACTTAGGGTAATGTGTCAGCATGCTAAAAAGCAGAGACTTTACTTTCCCGACAACGGTCTGTTGAGTCAAAGCTATGGTTTTTCTAGTGGTCATGTATGGATGTGAGAGTTGGACCATGAAGAAAGCTGAGCACCAAAGAATTGATGCTTTTGAACTGTGGTGTTGGAGAAGACTGTTGAAAGTCCCTTGGACTGCATGGAGATCCAACCAGTCAATCTTAAAGGAAATCAGTCCTGAATATTCATTGGAAGGACTGATGCTGAAGCTGAAACTCCAATCCTTTGGCTATCTGATGTGAAGAACTGACTCATTTGAAAAGACCCTGATGCTGGGGAAGATTGAAGGTGGGAGGAGAAGGGGATGACAGAGGATGAGATGGTTGGATGGCATCACTGACTCGATGAACACGAGTCTGAGTAAGCTCTGGGAGTTGGTGATGGACAGGGAGGCCTGGTGTGCTACAGTCCATGAGGTCGCAAAGAGTCGGACACAACTGAGTGACTGAACTGAACTATGGTACCTGCGTCTTAACCCCAGAGACCTCCATTTAATTCCACTGGCATACACCTTGGCAACTAGATATTTAAAGTCAGTCAGATGAGTCTCATGAGCAATTAGAAATAAGAACCGTTGGTAGGCCACTCCTTTGTCATTACTAGTAACACCTTTGACACATATATACCAGTAAGGGTGATAAAATGGCATTATTTTGAAAACTAATTTATGAAAATATCTTTCTGTAATTTCAGCAGGCAGTAACAATATTCACGTATTACCAGAAAGAAGGTAGTGATGAAAAGATCTGCCTGGCAAAAAGAGAGAGGAAGAGAAGGGAAAACAAGTTTACAGCCGCATTAATTAACTATAAAAGAAAGTTACAGTTTCAAGTTGTATGTACCTGGTCGATGGCACCCAGATCATCAGCAAAGCTGTTTACTTCTGACAGAAGCAGAGATATTATAGATCTTCTCAACAAGCTGCAACTTCCCAGGGTTACCAGACTCTGCGAGACATAACGCTGCACCTGAAACTACAGATCAAGATAAGTAGGCTTCTACTTTCTGTCAAGTCAGGTCAGAATATATTTAATGGGCACTTCCTAAGATTTACTACTGAGCTCCCTGCTGCAGGGAGCACAGAAAGTGTCAACATAATTCTGGGTCAGTCTCAAGCAAAACTGTGAAGTAGATAGATTATCACGATAGAAGCAATGAAATTTTATAGCAGTTAATATTTTGAAATGTGTGACAAGGTTCTAAAATGGAAGTTTTAGCTGAAGGACCAAAAGATCATATCGTTTAGATGATAGACTACATACAAAATGAATCAAGGGGATGACAAAACCAGACTCTCAGACCCTTAACCATTAAATATAGATATGGAGCTGTAGAGGTAGAGATGATAAAAAGGAAAGAGGAAAAGGTTTGAAGATGTCTTTGGGGAGAGGCCCACCTCCACGCTGCAGAGGGACGGGTGTGGGTGTCTATTCTGCACAAATCAAAAGAGAGATCATTTAGTGCGAGGAGAAAAAAATGTGGGACTCTGATTTTTCATCTAGAGGTAGCAAAAGAACTTATCATTCAATAAATTTCACAGGACAGTGGGAGACAATAAACCATATCCCTTATAGTTATTAGGAGAAATGCCACTTGATTATCATTCACATTAAGGTACATATAACTCATACCTCAATTTTCATTAAATCTTTGCTTTAATATATCTGGGAGAAAGGAGGCTTCAAGGAGTATCTCAAAACACAAAAACAGCATCTACCTTGCCATTGCACTCTATGAGCTTAAAATCATATTGGGGAGACACTGCTTTTCTATATAAAATATTTAAATGACAATGCTAAATAACTAATACCATATGACACTAAGAAATGCCATCTGTGTCCTTTAGGATGGACACTTAATATAGATATTTCCAAACTGATATTTTAATGATATGCTTTAAAAGTTAATCAATGACACTAAAAAACCGAATAGATTATAGACTTCAAAAAATGTCTATCATAAATCCAGATGTGTATAACTAGCCGTTAATAATAATTTTCTAAATCAACTTACCAAATTTACAACTAAAACCACACAATTTATTATCATAGCAAATCAGTTATTTATCAGTTATTTCCTAATAAGATAAGTAGCTAAGACTCCCATCTTTTGTAACTCTTTAATACCATTTATTATATGTCCCATTTTTTATAACATTTTTCTTTGTACCTGAAATAAAGAGTGCTCTTAGCTAAGTTCTGAAAAACTTCTATTGAGTATTTCACAGATGATGCAGTTGTTTACTTACCATTTTTCCTTAATATCTAATCTTTAGGGGATAGCTTAAAGACAAGATAAACTTCACAATAAAATGGACTTTACACAGGGGGGATGAAGTGAAGGTGTGACAAACTGCAGACTCTAGGGCCCAACACTTGCCTAAGTCAAATCCCAGCTCCACGCTTATCAACTTGTACTAACAACTTACTAAACCTTATATGTCTCAGCTTACACTTCTGCAAAACAGTGACTGGACAGCAGCACCTACATAGAGTCCTACATGTGAAGTTAAGACAGCAAAAATGATTAACATAGGGCCAGGCCCCCAGTAAGTGTCCCTTAAGTGTTAAATGTTACAATGTAGGATAGTAATATAAAGGCATTAAAGGTTATGTTTAATTCATTGACCCTTGAGATGTTAAATACTAGAAATAAAATCATTTGTCTAGAGTTAATACAGTCCTTTTAGAGGACACCGCTGAGAAGGAAAGTTCATCACAAAGTGTTTTTCCACTGTATGGCTGTGAAGTAAGACTGTTCTCCAATGTGACTGAGATCCATATGAGAGCAGAGACTAAGTATATAGCCATTAGGATGATTTAAAATTCTGTGAATGTTATTATAAAATGGTCTCTATTCTTCCTTTCATTTTAATTGACATTTGCCCTTTTGTAAATTGCAGGGAACTTTGAGAGAGGCTGAACTGGAGCCTGGGCTTTTATCACGTATGAGGTGACTGCAGTGGAAACCAGAAAAGGGCTTGGCAACACCTCCACCACCCTTTTCTGCTCTATAGCGCCTCTTATCTGTATTTCAGGGACAGGAGGGCTGGAAAGAAATTTTCCAGATTCCTCTGCAGTTAGGATTCGGGATGTGATTTGAGCTCTGCCAGGTAGAGCATTCATTTGGGAACTGGATGCAGCAGTGCATTTTAGAATAAGAGAAGCAGGGCGCAGTCTGTGGCAGAGGTGGTGTGATTCTGGCTTATCCTGCAGCCGGTTCAGAGGACTCCTTCATCTCCAGGTTCTTAAACTCAGTAGAAGCAGCAGGATACTATTTTGGTGACCCACTGGCTTAGGGAGTCATTCCTATTAGCTCAAGGTTTCCCAAAAGTGCTTGGATCTATATATTCACCTAGAGGATTCACAGACCTCAGTGCCACATTGAAGTACTGGATTATCCAGGAGTGGAAATGCCTACCCACGTGCCCAATAAATTTGCCTATTTGACCTGCACAGGAAATTGAAGGATCTTGGAGAATGCCAGTGAATTATTATAAAATTAGTTAGGCGGTGTTTCTACTTACACAGTGCTGATGACGGTTCCAGATGCAGCTCCCTGCCTCTGACACTTGGGAAGGCAGGTCCTGACCGGGGAAGTTTGCATTTACCTAGGATACTGCAGTGTGCTTCTCCTGTCCTGTCCAGGCTGTGGCAACTTGCTGGCTCCATGCCATCATTAAGTTCACAGGATTCTGATTACTGAACTGGTCCAATGACAGCATGCCAGTGCACTGGACGCATGCTGATTTGGCAGGGCTCTGAGCGCCCCAGTAAACACACATGCATTTCAGAGAATGAACCCCAGAAATTCAGGTGCCTGGTGCACTTGGCAAGTTTCGGGGTCTGACACATGTTGGAATACACTCCCCAAATGCAAAACATGTTGCTTTAGATGTAGCTCCCATCACTAATAAAAAGATACAATACTTGATGTGCCTCTGGATATCTGAGGCAACATATATCCCTTTGGTTTTTTTACTTAGATGTACAGATTGAGAAATCACAAGGCTGTGAATTTCAAGAGGGGCCCAGAAGAGCATAGAAAGATCTCTAGAAGCTGAGGAAGAAGTTTGTTCCTCTAGGTGACGAACAAGAATGGATCTCATGACCAATAAGAGCCAATATCCCTGGAGCTAATCAATATATTCTGTGAATTCTGCAGCCGTGACCCTAATCAGATAATTACAAAGGAGGGCATGTAGGTTTGGGGAGAAAGTCATACCTTTCTTGACAAGTAAATTTTATCCTTTATAGAAAAAAAAAAAAAAAAAAAACTTGCTTATGCTATTTGGCCCCAGTAAAGACTGAATGAGTTCCTGACTGTAGACACCAAGTGACAGTATGCCCAGAGCTGCTCATCTCAACTGGGTGTTATCTAAAGTCAGGCATACATGGCACAGTTCCATCATTCAGTTCAGTTCAGTTCAGTCACTTAGCCATGTCTGACTCTTTGCGACCCCATGAACTGCAGCATGCCAGGCCTCCCTGTCCATCGCCAGCTCCCAGTCCACCCAAACCCATGTCCATTGAGTCGGTGATGCCATCCAACCATCTCATTCTCTATCGTCCCCTTCTCCTCCTGCCCTCAATCTTTCCCAGCATCAGAGTCTTTTCAAATGAGTCAGCTCTCCGCATCAGGTGGCCAAAGTACTAGAGTTTCAGCTTCAACATCAGTCCCTCAATGAACACCCAGGACTGATCTCCTTTAGGAAGGACTGGTTGGATCTCCTTGCAGTCTAGGGGACTCTCAAGAGTCTTCTGCAACACCATAGTTCAAAAGCATCAATTCTTCAGTGTTCAGCTTTCTTTAGAGTCCAACTCTCACACCCATACATGACTACTGGAAAAACCATAGCCTTGACTAGACAAACCTGTGTTGGCAAAGTAATGTCTCTGCTTTTTAATATGCTGTCTAGGTTGGTCATAACTTTCTTTCCAAGGAGCAAGCGTCTTTTAATTTCATGGCTGCAATTTCATCATTAAGTAGTTGTAATAGATCAAAATAGGGATCAAGTAGGAACGGAAACCATGGGTAAAGTTTCCTTGGGCAGTTAGTTCCAACTAGAATACCACTTCATAAAAGGTTGAATAGTAGGAAACATGCTCTAAACCAGTGACCAATATACAACGTTCCGTCCCCCACATCCAGAATACAAAGGTTCAGGAATCAATGTATGAAAGTGAGGCTAGGAACTCTCAAGAGACATCTAATGATTTGTGGGCAAAGTATTATTCCCATCCTTGTGGCACTGGATTTCTCCCTAGAGGTCTACATAAGCAAGTGAAAATGCTTCCTACTGACTGACCCAGCAGTAGTTTCACAAACTGGAAGTTGAGGTTTCCACCTGGCTACGTAGATTTCTTCATGCTACAACGCCATTGGCAAAAGAGAGGTTCCTGGTGCAGCTGACTTCAGTGTGGAGGAAAACAAGGATTTACAATGTGATGGAGCAGGGAAGACTATACCTAGGATTTACAATGTGATGGAGCAGGGGAGATTATACCTGAGATTTACAATGTGATGGAGCAGGGGAGATTATACCTGGGATTTACAATATGATGGAGCAGGGGAGATTATACCTGGGATTTACAGTATGATGGAGCAGGGGAGATTATACCTGAAATTTACAGTGTAATGGAGCAGGGGAGAGTATACCTGAGATTTACAATGTGATGGAGCAGGGGAGATTATACCTGGGATTTACAATATGATGGAGCAGGGAAGATTATACCTGGGATTTACAGTATGATGGAGCAGGGGAGATTATACCTGAAATTTACAGTGTAATGGAGCAGGGGAGAGTATACCTGAGATTTACAATGTGATGGAGCAGGGGAGATTATACCTGGGATTTACAATATGATGGAGCAGGGAAGATTATACCTGGGATTTACAATGTGATATAGCAGGGAAGATTATACCTGGAAGCCAGGGACTGCCCTGTAGGACTGACACATCCAAGTGGCAGAAG